TTGCCATTTGAAGCGGAAGTGACCCTTGAAGTTTGATTTTGTTTGTGCGCCATTCGTTGGCAACGACAGGACTTTTCTTCTTTTGACCAGGCCAGGAACCATATTTATATTTATTTATTTGCTGCTATTGCGCCGCTGTTGTTGCTGCTGCTGCTGCTCAATTTTTAATCAACGGCTTTGATGGCGTCTTGGCAGCGCCTCCTGGACTCCATGCAATTTCCTGTTTGGCTGTGGACGAAGTCTGAGAGACAGGCGGCTAGCAAAGGAGAAAAAAAAGTAGAAAAAGAGGAAAAGGAAAGCTCGACGACTCGACGCTGCTTGCCTATTTTTAGCAATTTGGCCGTATCCCACGGATTTCAATGTCAACAGCACTCACAGACACATACACACACACACACACCCCAAGAAAGCCGGGAATCCGGCATTTGGAGAAGGTCGGAAGTTGTCATCCGCAAGTGCCAAGCCTGAACATAAAGCAGCTCGATCTTGGTCCTTGTCCACTGCTCATCGCTCATCCGATTAGGAGATTGCCTCAGACCAAAGTGCAGCATACTTATGGGGGTTGTAATTGAACTTGCCGCTAAAGGCAATTAAAAGCAAATCATAAATCATCTTCAGGGGAGGAAGAGAGAGTAGGGAAGCTGACCTTAAATGACATGCGGAAACTCTAAACTCTATATATGTTTTTTGATATACAAAAAGCCCTAATTTAATGTTAATTTCAGTTCAGAAATTCACCAAAATAACTAAAAATTTGTCTCCCAAGCTATAGGGGAAACCTCTCTAAAGGATGTGCATAAATTCATTGTATCAAAGACCCTTTCTTTTCGTTACGCTCCAAGTTCAAAGTGCAAAGGTGCAAAGGACGACCAGGAGGTGGCATGTGACGAGCCCAACTGTGGAATCGCCAATGAATGCGAATGCGAATGATTCGCAGGACCAAGGAAAGGAGCCACCGGCCAGGACACAATGGGCCAGGCTCGCCTGCAGCGACTCGCGCTCTCGCTCGCACTTGCTGGGATCCTTCGGCTTGCGTTCGCCGACAATCGGCGGCACCGCTCGGTGCTCCTGCTTACGTCACAAAGCTGCGTAGGCGTCATCGTCGTGCGGCGCACCCATTGCCTTCGTCCCGCTTCTGTACCTCGGCTCCATGTGTCTGTGTGTGTGTGTGTGTGTGTGTGTGTGTAACGCTCCGCTTCGGCTCTTTGCTTCGTTGAAAAACGACGCCAGCCAGGCGGTGATTTTCACCCCACTCATTTCCATTTCCATTTTCCACCCATACCCATACCTTTTCCACTTCTCTCTCGAGGGCTCGCGTTCTGGTTTCCCCAAGTTTCCGTCGTTGTCGTCGTCGTCGTCTCCTGAATGAAAACTCGTCTCGTAGCCAGAGCTGGCTTCGATTTTTGTTGTTGACGTAGTCGTCTCCGGAATCCGCGCCTGCGCCATTGCCTGGCAGAATCATCTGTTGTTGAGTCCGTCCTCTACTCCTGCCTCATCCTGGCCATCCTGCCAGCAAGTGCATTTGGCTTGTGGTAGGACCGTTTTCAGGGAGGAAATCGTGGGAAATCTTTTTGTGAGGGCCAGGGGCCAGGGGGCAGGCTTGGCTCGGGCTCAGCTGTTTGCTGTTTGAATGTGGTTTGCCTGTAGAGTTTTCCAGCATTATCCTTGGAGACTTTAGCAGGCAGCTGTGCAACAAATTCCGAGAGTCCAAGCCGGCTTTTCGCCTGGAGAGATTCTTTTAGCTTTAGTTTTTCACCATGAAACGAAGCTGGTCCTAAGCAGGTTATGAGGAGTATCTAAAGAAAAATACTAGCATTTGCAGTTGTAAAATATATTTTATTATTTCATAAATATATTCGTTATAAAATATGTTTCTACATAAATATATAGAATTTAATAACTAGTACATTAACTTTACTTTAATTACTCTTCGTTCTTAGTACTTAATCGTTGCTGGCTAACTCGTTGTTGTTGTTATTGTTTAACTTTTATATATTTTCTACAAAGACTTAACCGTAAGTCAACTTCTCGTCCATTCAAAACTCTCCACACTGTTTTGTGTGTGTTGGCATCAGGTCCTTTCCATTCACAGAGCTCACCTCGGTTTGAAAATCGTTCGGTATGGTGGCAGGGCAGCAGCGAATGTATATTATAGCTGCTGCTCGCTCGTAAAACGTAAAAGCCACAGACATTGTGACGACAAAAAGGACTTGTCTTCGTCCTGCCACATCCTGTCCCCTCTGTTGGCCCGCTGTGCACCCAGCTCGTAGCTGTTGAATCCTGCATGAGACGAACAGCGAAAAACAGGCTGCAAGCAACGATGACGCCTCTCGTTTCAGGACGTAGCCAGCGGAGTTCTCCTTCATTCATGTTGGCTGCCACCCGAGTGGCTTTCCCCTCGGCTCTCCCCTGAGTCCTTTGCCTCCTCGAGTTAGATTCGGGTTCGGTTCGGTCGCCTTAATGACTTGCAATTCATGTGCTCACTTTTATTCACATTCTAATTTCGATGCTGCTGCGTGAGTTGTGTTTTGCTTACTCGCTTTCGGATTTCGTATTTTGTATTTCGTCCTTCTGTCTCCCATGGGCGTCATCGTTGTTCGAACTTCGAATTGGGTTGTGCTGAGTTCGAAACTTAGGGGCAGGCTGGCAGGACTCGAAAATGAATGAGAAAAGCGATCTGCAGACGGAGATTTGCAAGAATGGATGGAATTTGAGAAATTCATTTTTAACTCTTTCTTAGTTACTAAAATAAAAAGAATGTAGAAGATGAACAAGATTCAATAATTTAGGGAAACTGTAGTTCAAAGAACATGTTTTAAGATAGTAGAAGCTTGACAAGCTAAGCCATAACTTAGGTATAGAAAATTCTCTTAATAAATTTATAAAATTCTCTGAAAAGGAGGATATCTTTGAATTATCTAAGGATTATATATTTTTTCTTTATTTGAATTTAAGATACGTTATAATTAATAACATTTAAAAGCAAACAATACAAGTTATATTAAATCTAACTAAGGTTAACCATAATCATAGGGTTTAAACTCCCTATGATTATTATTAATCTTTGTTAGATCAGAAACTTTCAATCTTTATTTAATGATACATGAAATATACAAAAATATATAAAAATACAAACTTAAAAAAGCCACAACTAAGCTAAAAATTCATTAATTGCAATTCGAAAAGCGTTCCTATGACAATTTTTATTGGGTTAATAAATCTGCATACTCAATTTACAATTTTAGAAAATTCAAATCAATTTGAAAAAAAAAACGGAAAAATTGTAGAATTTTTTTTTTTCTAACCGGACATGTCTAGTTTGGTTAGGTTTTTAATGCTGATCAAGAATATATATGATTTATAGGGTCGGAAATGTCTCCTTCACTGAATTTTAAGCTTCTTATTAGAATTAGAATGCCCTGAAAGGATATAATTACTTTCGAATGACTTCTCAAAATTTTCCATAAAAAACCCACCTATAAAATTGTATATATCTCTATCTTGGGACTAACCCAATAACTGAGGACTCACACAACTTTCCCAATGCAGAATTCCACCAATTTAGGGTTCATCCTGTGAGAAATGCAGTCGTTGGTTTTTTTTGGGGCTAAGACCTAGCAGCTGATGTTGGGCAAAACTGAATTTCGAAATTGGGAATTTCCCCGCCGGAATTCGGAGACCGATGAAAATGCGGACTCGTGCAACCCACGCAAAGTTGGGGACCGCAAATCATATGGGAGGCGGTGGCAGGTGGCAGGTGGCAGAAGCTAGAGGGAAATGTGGAAAATGGGAAAAGTGGGGGAGTCGGCGATGCCGGTAATGGTGCACTCTGCGCAGGAGCAGGCACACTCGGGAGAACACAGAAGACGCTCCACGCTCTCTGGACTCCGCTCTCCGTTCTTCGGGACTTCGGGGCTTCGGAAAAACTCTACACAAGAGGCAGGTTGAAAACAAGTGGTTGAGCGGGCAGAGTGCTCAGTACTGAGCGAACTGTCGTTTCGAGCTCGAGTTTTCCCGCTGACTGAGAGCAGAAGCTGTAGCTGAAGAGCTGAAGCCCCCGAGCTGAAGAGGAAGCAGCAGCAGTAGCAGCAGCAGCCGTAGGAGCAGGAGCAGGAGCAGGCGAAGGCGAAAGCGGGAGAAAGGAGCCAAAGGAGCAGAGCGACAGAGAGAGAGAGCGAGCGAAACGAACAGCAGCCGAGAAGTGAAATTCGAGGCAGGGGGAGTGAGTGAGTGTCCTGTGTGTAAGTGTGTGTGTGCGAGTAGCATAAAGTGGAAATACGAAACGCCTTGAGGAGCGACTGCGACGCCGACAGCGGCAGAGGGACACGCGTCAGGCGGCTAAGCAAAAGGCAGACAAACAGGCGAATCCTGCTGAGACGATACGACGAGTCCTTGCTCGTCGGTTCAAACGTGCGGAACACACTTCTGGAGGCAGCCCGAAAAAGAGACACACAAAAAAAAAAAACACACACAAGAAAGGAGGAAATCTATTCCACAAAAACACACCAACTCACACTTCAATCCACAACAAAGGAAAGTTTTCACCACAAAACAGAGAGAACCAGCTAAAGTAATAGTTTAACAACAATACAAATTAAAAACAAATTCGAAATCCCAAAAAAACGATATTTCGAAAACAAATTTTCAAAATACAACAACAAATTATTCCTATCCCAAAAACCCAGTGAAAGTGGAAAAGTTATTCAACCGAAAATAGAAACCAAATGCAAATCAGTTCCAGTTAATTGTTTTCCCTCAATTGATGGCTAACACTGTGAGTTTTAATTAATATACAACAACAAGTCATTTATATATATACGAGAAACCAAATCGAAAACAAAGTGCCGCAAGCTGAGAGCGCTAAAGTGCTAAAAGTTCCTTACAACAAAATATTAATTAAAAAAGAATAATAATAACAAATACGAAAGCGAAAACGGATGCTAAAACAACAAATTATATTGTTACAACTACTAATAAAATATACAAATTATACAACATCAATTTCTTTGCATTTTAAACGAAAAACGAAATTAAATAAAGTAAAATACAAAACGAAATAAAAAAAGAGAAAGCGAGCAGCTCAAAACGTAACGAAGAAAAACCCAAGTGCCGTGGAAAAACCAAAGTCTAAGCCTACGAGCAACTGAAGCCAGCGGAAAATCCGAGGATATAGTGGCTATAAATAGTGGAATCAAAATTAGAAGCCGACGGGTGACAGCAACTAGTTGTCAGCAACCAGCAACTTGACTAGCGAAGGGTCGACGACAGAGGCCAACAAGGTTCAAGCTTCAGCTCCGGACTCCAACTCCAACTCCACCTTGGAGCTCAGGCCAGACCAGGCCAGGAACCGCCCCCCAGCTACTCCCCCGGGAGAAGAAGGAGACAATTGATTATTGATTTTGTCTAAAGCCAGCAAAGAACTTCACAGCTTAACGCAAAACAAACTTGGCAAAGGGGCTAAGCTAAGCAGGGAAAAAACACGTTGACGCTGAAGGGGAGGCCGGAAAAAGCAAGAGTCGGGAAAACTCCGGAGTTGGCCGTCAGTGTTGTGCAATGCCAGGCTTAGGCCGGCCCAGTGTTGGTCAGTGGCGTGGCGCCTGAAGACCCACAAGAGCGCCGTGTGGCCATAAGTGCTTCTTGGGCCGAAAGCAGAGTAGCAACAGCAACTATCCTCCTCGTCTCGAGAGCGGGACAAGCCCTCACCAAACCACAGCAACCTACCGCCAACCACCCACCACCACCCACCACCTACCGTTATCATAACATACCATACCATACCATATACCCTTCCCTCTAATCGATCCCCTGAGCCGCCAAGATAAGCCGTCTAGTCGAGAAGCTGCGCCAGACCAACAAACGCAGGATGTTCAGCTCGCTGGCCCAGACGCTCCTCTGCGTCCTGCTCGTCCAGAGCGGCCTCTATGCCCTCCACCTGAGCGGCAATGGCAACAGCGGCGACAAGTCCTTGGGCGAGGTGGCCAAGGGCCTCCAGTCGTCATCATCATCTTCGTCGTCGTCGCCCAGCCAACCGATCGGACCCTCGCCGGGTTCTAGTGGTGCCTGGCAGACGGCGCCGTCGCAACAGCAGCAGCACCAGCAGCATCCGGGCGGATCTCCGCCAGGCGGCGGATCCTCGCGTGGTCCTGGTCACCGATCCGCCGCAGCGGCCGCCTTCGATGCCACCACCGTGCGGCTGAACAAGGAGATCGCCGACATGGCCCAGCTGGAGCGCGAGCGGCTGATGATTCTGGCCCGCGAAAAGCAGACGGCGGAGAGCCAGGGCAATCATCGGGGCCATCCCTTCATCACCGGTCGCATCCAGATGCAGCCCAGCGAGGAGCTGGATGTGGGTGACTATCCGGCCCTGCTGCAGCAGGCCGCTCGCGGCTACATCTTCGGCAATGTCCAGAAGCAGCCGCCCAGTCCGCTCAATCTGGAGGAGGACTACGAGCAGCTAAGGGAGATGGAGCACAGGCCGGTGAAATATTACGGCCGGGTGGTGCAGCCGGAGGAGCGGGAGCAGGAGCAGCAGCAGGCAGAGTCTCTCTACGAGCCGTTGCACTCCTTCGGCGACTTCGATGACTTCTCGGAGCTGGAACAGGAGCCGGATCCGCCGCATCTGGGCGAGGATGAGCTGCTGCGCGAACTGGATGCGTATCAGTATCACGGCCTGGAGGAGGATCCCCTGCCCGAGAATCCGTATCGCACGCTGGAGCAACTGGAGCTGGCTGCCCCCGATTCGCTGCAGCAGCTCTTCGAGCAGGAGCAGGAGCAGCGGGATGCTCCCATGAAGGCCATGCACTCGGGCAAGACCCACACTAATCCCGGTGGCTACAATATAAGGACCCAGCAGAAGTGGGCACGGAAGCGTAATGGCCAGGGACTGGTCGGTCATAGCTCCGGAGCGGAGAAGCAGCTCCAGCGTCAGATCTTTGCCCAGCACTTTAAGCCGCAGCGCAGCAATGGTGGCAAGCTATCGCTCTCGGCCAACGCGGAGGCCACGGCCAGCAAGCACCTGAAGCCCTCAAGTCGCTCCGGCTCAAAGGATACCGAGAAACCCAACAATGGGCTGGGAGGCAGTGCTTCCTCCTCGCCTGCCGCCGAGGGAAAACCGAAGCAGCAGCAACAGCCAGCGGAACAGCAGCAGTCGCAGGACAAGAAGGATCCTAGCCACAAGAGATCCGGCGGAACGGTGGGATCACCGGGTGGCGGCTACTCGGCACAGCCACCCATGTCCCACAGCATAGCCAGCCAGCTGATGCTGCGCACCGCCCGCGGTCAACGGCAGTACGATGTGCCACAAATCGGTGAGTTAGTTACCTTTCCTATTTCATTATTTACCTATACCTAGTCACTATATATCCTATGCCCAGCCTGGGGGGGTGGACCCTGGGAAAGAGGGCAATCGATCGAAGCAATCAAGCCTCGATGAACCTGTGACCTTTGGCCGGCAGAACTGGGCTGTTGTCTGCCAATCAAACCTCCACTTGACTCTATAAAAAGGCCTGGTATTAGGTTATATAGGGTATATCTTGGTTTCGAATCAAGGAAAGTGAACTCTTTGTTTATTTTTCAATTTGTATTTTAATATTTTCACTGGATAATTGAATATTTATAGTAAAATGTATTCTATTTCTTGGTCAAAATGTCCCTCCAAGTAATGTATCCCTTCAAAGTTTCACTGTATCCTAATTACTTGTGGAAATAATAAGCAAACATTAATTTACAAATGCGTGTTAGCGGGTTAAGGAAAGCCAACATTTACCACCAAATAGTGACGGTCAATATCTTTCCAATATCTGTGCGTTTCATGACGCATTAATATATAGTTTGACTTGAATCGAATTGACTCGAGTGGAGCGGAAACCGTGCTTGACCCCTTGGCATACCTATTTTTGGGGTCGAAGTGGGGTCCCCAAGGACACGTTATAATCGCTCTATTTCTGTACCTATTTCTTTCGCTTAAAGCAATTTATTACGACTGTTCCTGTTATTCTTGGCGGTATCCTGCATATTTTATGATCCAAGGCGGCGTCGTCGGCAGGCTGGCAATTTAATCCTTTTAGCCTGGCTTGTGGGCGGGCCAACGACCAGCCCGACCGGCTCATCAATCATCAATCAGTCGGCGTTTAATAGATTGTCACTAAATCATTTGTCAACATGGCAAAGTTTCTGCAGCTTTTTCTCGGCTATTTTCGGTAGTTTGGCCAACTTTTCAGTCTCTTATTTTTGGCCATTGCATTTAGCAAATTAGTTGGCGGAGGCAGGACATCCATAGGGGGGCTGAGAGACTGGACTAGAAGTTCGTCCTTGGCTTTCGCCCATTCCGGGCCCGTTGTTAATCACTTGGCTGGCTAAATTACTTTACAACAAGTTTTGATGGTCGCCATGAATACGGAATACGCTTAGAGAAAGTTGGAGCGGCATCGGAACTCGGTCTTGGTCCTGGCTCTGGCCTGGCCTGGCCTGGCCTGGTCCTGTGCTGGTCTCGACTGACAATCAATTTTAATTTTTAATTAACACTTTCAAGTTTAATGGCGACATTGTTATGGCCGTGAGCTAAATGCGATTTCATTGCTCTTGTCCTGCGAAGCAACAGCAGAATCCTTGGCTCGAAATTATCCAGAAATTCAGCTTACAGCTTTCAGATTTCAACTCTCTGGTTGGCTGGCAATTTGATATTCTGTTCAATTTGCTGCTGCCATTAGTTGCAGACATTTATAATTAATTCGAGTATTAAATTTGATATTTATGCTTTGGGGGAAACTTGATATAGAGCGGATTTATTAAATTTATTGACCCAAAATAAGTTAATCAGTGCAGTGGAGGAAGTTGCATTCAATAAAGCGAACTATTATATTACATTTGAATCTGATAGAGTTTTGTTTTTTTGAAAAAAACGAAACACTTTAGTTGAACAATTTTCCTTGTACACTTGTGCCTTTCCTTTTCTCTTTGTTTTATTAATAAACAAAAAGTTATTTTTGATTTACTTGGCTCTTGTTGGGACAACAATGTAAAGTTTTCCTTGCCAATTAAATTAAATTGGATTAGTTTATGGTACATACCTTTCGGGCACTTCAGCCTTACAGCTTCTTAGCCTTTTTCCCTTTTAGAATTTTCCATCTTTTCCCCAAAAACTGACTTGAAAGATGTTGTGAAAATTCAATATGAAGAAGACAATCAATGAATTTTAATTTTATGCGCATGTTTGCACAATTTTCCTCATTGTTATGGCTGTCAGTGCTTTTCCTCCTCACTCTCTACCCTGATTTTTCCCACATTTTCTCCTCTGTGCGTGTGCCTGTGTGTGTGCGTGTGTGTGTTTGTTTATTTCCGCATAACGTCATCGAGTGCCAGCTGTGAAAACGTCAACGCTTTGCCACCCGTCGTCATCCCCGTCCTCGTCCTTGTCCTCGTCGCCGTCTCGCTCCGCACTTCACACTTTCGCTGGTAGTTGGGAAAATTACAATTGCTCCTCTAAGTGTTTATCCTGGAAAACGATTATCGTGGGAGCCGCACACATGTGGTTAAGGAGAAGGACATGGAAACGGTAGCTCAGCATAATAATGTGTGGGATCTAGGAAAAATTAGTAATACAATTGCTTAAATTTACGGAAAATTATAATTTAAAGGAAATATAGCATTTTTATACCCTTGTAAGGCTTGCAAAACAGTGAAGGAGTCATTTTCGACCCTATAAATCATAATATTCTTGATCAGTTTTAAAATCTGAATCGATACAGCCATGTGCGATTGAAAACAAAATTTTTAAACATTTTTTTCATTTCTAAAATTGTATATTGAGTATACAGATTTATTAACCTAATAAAAACTAGCATAGGAACTGTTTCTGAATTAAAATTGAATCCTTTTTGACTGAGTTATGAGATTTTTAAAATTTGATTTTGAGATAAAATTGTCATATAAAAATATCTATTCAAAAACGAATGTTTTAAGCTTAGTTGTGATCGATTTTCGCTTCGTTCCTATAATTTAAGTGCAAGCTGCTTCGGCATTCCGAATAAAGTGTCCTTTCATGTTAAAAGCTAAAATACTTTAATAAATATCTGTATCATTTGAAGTTAGCAGCTTGGAAAAAGGTAAAGGAAAATCCTTCTGAAAATCCCCAAAGAATACCCAAATATAAAAATAAAAAAAGAAAGAAAAAAAACTTAAAAGAGCCATCACACAATTTCCCGGGAAACCTGCGGCTGCGTTTACAACTTGACATCATTAAAACGCGTTCACAATTTACGATCCTCTGCTGGTCCGGTTTCCAACTAATTTAGTAACAACACCCCGGGGGTCCAGGGCAACCGGACAGGACGGCCTCCGTTTGACAAGTCCTTGCTCCCACGCCCATATCCTGTCTCTCTCTGTGTGTGTGTACTCCTTCGCTCGCTCATATACTCATGTCCTGGCGGTTGATTTAATTTGTAATTTGAGCCCTGGCCGGTCCTCAAGTGGCCACTTGGCGGCAAAAAAGAGATCATCGATTCGTGCAGGACCCTGCGTTCCCGCTCCCGTCGAATATTACGCAAATTAGTTGGAAATGGATATTGGAGATGCGTCTATCAGTCTGTCTGTCTGCCAGTCTGTCAGTGGTCTGTTTCCCCCCCCCTCTGTTTTCCCGCTTTCCCATTTTCCGCGTCCTTTGCGTGGGCGGTCGCAATGCAGCGATGGAAAGTTTCACCACAGCGACAGGTTGTCTGCCGCAACTTGTGGGTTCCACAGACAGTCTCTATCCTTGTCTGTGTGCCTCCATAATCGGGAAAGGATATGCAAATGGCCAGGCACTTGAGGAAGGAGCGACAGATCGGACAAATTGTTATACTAGGGATAGACAGATTGCGCCTTAAAGGACTTCCCTTTTCCTAGTTTGAGGAGTTTTGGAGTTGGAAAATCACTATTAGAGTAAAGAGACTCTATGTCTGCAAAAGGACTCTCTCCAAGTCTAACTTTCTGCCTAATGACATTGCCCCTTGACCTACAAAAAGATGCGTATAACAAAAGTTCGCTTTTTATAAATATTTCTTTTTATATTCTCACATCAATGCCAATGGCAGACTGACATTTTTGGCATTTTCTGGAGGCGCCTAAAATATTCTTGCCGTCACTTGGCCCAGCTTTCTCTTTCTCCTCCCTTGGGAGGAGTCCTGCAGCCAACAAAAATACAAAATATATACATATATCCACACCCTGACCCAGGGCTAATTAGGAGGCAAGGCCCAATTTGCATTGCAGGCGGCTCTCCAGCTTGGCGGCCAAATGAACTGGAAGCAATGACGCCCCATGTCACGCCCACACACTGAATTTGTTAATGAGGTGGACACTGTTTCGGCCCGGCAAATTAGCCTTTTGACTTAATGCACACTGGCCAAAAATAAACAGAAACGTGCTGGAAATGGCCAGAACATGAATCAATAAACGGTGACATCATCATCATCTTTGTGCTAGCCAGCATCCAGTCAGTTGGTGGGGGTTTTACAGCATATAGACAGGACCTTCTCCTCCTTCTCCTTGCATATATAATTATGGCACACACACACACCACCACCAACAACAACAATAACAAGAACAGCTAAGGGGGGGAAATATTTACATTAGCGTGGCCAGGATCTGGTAAAGGACGCGGCCATTGAGCCAGGCCAATTGTCTGGGTGTTGGTGCGACTCATTCAGCCAGTTTGACGACAGCAGTTACCCGAGGCGAGCTCTGGCCAAAAGTTTGTGCTTTCTTCTTGCGTCACAGTCTGAAGGATTGACATACTTATGCCCACACCCAAGCCCAAACCCTCCCCCTATGTAGAAGATACTACTACCATATAAATCTGAACAAAGTGTCTAAAGGATTGCGTGGCATGATGCTGAATAAACATGGCCAGCATAAATATCAACTATGGGCCAATAATGAAGCACACCAGGACCAAGAATTTTGCTCGAAAATCTATAATAAGACACTGGAGACCCGCATAGAGTATATATCCTATTTGGCCAGTCAGCTCTTAGTCATCCGTAATGAAGAGCGAAAAGGGGAAAGCGGGAAAAGCGAGAGGAAAGGCAGGGAAAGCCAGCAGAACTCTTCGGCAAATAAATGTGGCTGAGTAATCGGGCGAGTGAGTGTGTGTGTGTGTATGTCAGAATTTTTTAGTCAATGAAGCGTCAAGGACTTTTTTTTTTTGCTTATGATATATTTACCCAAGGGAGGTCTCAGAGCCAGAGAGAGAGAGCCAGCCTGAGAGCGAATCCTTAGCCACAAAAGATGATGCAATGCAATCAAGAGGCAGCCGTGGGTTGTTGGGCAT